CATATATGAACTTAGCTTCAGACGATCGGTTGAAGGTTGAGAATTGTTGAAATCGTATAGGTTAAACCAAGAGCACGTTAAAACAACAAAGACTAAAGCCATGGAGGGAATGCTAGTAAGATCCCTGTGGATGACAATTGAGAAGCAAAAGAAATGAGGTCATCCACTGCAACACAAAGCATCCGATGGTAACTCAGAAGTACACAGTCTGCCCCAATTCAGAATATCTATCGGGGCATAATAAGTGAAACTCACATTATGCAAAGCTCCACGAATGGCACCGGCAAGGACGTTGGAGTAAAAAAGTTTCGGATGTTCCGGTGGGAGATCAACAAACTCGGTCAACGGGTTCGTTTCCAGTATGAGTGAAAACNTTTGTCACGGTAGGTGTAATTCCCAAAAACAGTTTGAAACCCTATCAGGAGTAACAGGACAAAGATTATTTGATATCACAAGTTTCCGTTCGAGAAGCAACAAATGATACGGGATGCTCACTTTGGCCAGCGCATTCGCGGTTTCCCGAAAATCATTACATCGCCCAGGGTTACCACGAGCTAAATAGTCTTCGACCAGTCGTAAACCCATATTAAAACCACTGTAATCAGAAAAAGCCATTCAACCTCTCTGACAGTAAGACAAGCGTACTTACATTCGATCGAGCTGTTCATTGATTTCCGCATCGGTGCCAAAGTCTTTCACAATATTTGCCACCAGAGAACCGTATGTTAGAGTAAATAATTCCGTTGTCTGTAGATGGAAAAATGGTAATAGTACGAAAAATGGTTTCTTACCACACGTTTAGAATCAGCAGACCGAGCAGACTGACGTGACATTCCGGCAAGTAGGTGGATGGGTTAAACGATTCTCGTGCTATGAAACAAATACAAGATAATGCAAACTTAGAATTTCCAATTGCTTCACACATGGAAACTGACCGTTTTCTACCAGGTGTGTATATTTTCATGACTAGATGCCGGTTAAATGGTTACAATGATACCAAAAAACGGGCAGCCAAAAGAAGGCAAACAAAACCACCGCACAATAATGTAAGGTCAATGGTTGTATAGACTGAAATGAAGTGGTTCTATTTACCAACTGATATTGGTCACTGCTGCGTAAATAAAAGGGGCGTTTCTCCGTCTGTGGTTTAAGCCCGATAACAAATGGTGGTGGAGCAGTGGTTTAATCGCTGTCACCGGCGTGCTCTGGACCCTGTGGTTCGAGCCCTGCCACCACCACCAAACCTTGGTGGTAGTCAGCTTTGTTGTCGCCCCGTTCTATACCACGTCTGACCTAGTGGGGTTTTACGTGGTTCACCACTCCTGTTACCATCATTGAACAGTGGGTATTAGTGACTATGGGGTCCGCTCCGTCTGTTGTTCATCACACAATAGTGTGTAATAAAAATGTACGTGAGTTGTACTTCGGTCTCCGGAAATAAGATACGTCGCAACTTCATTTGCCGGCAAAGTAATATTGACGGCACACCACATGATGATCGAGAACCTTGATCAATACTGACCGCTATGAGGATTATTCATCCAATAAAATGTTACCCCGTACCACTTGTGAATCAGTTCTGACCAGGGGATTAAAGGAAAATGAAAAAGGCTTTCAGCAGTATGTTGTATGGGATAGTCGAAGGCATCGATGTTGTTGAACTACTAAAATCAAACTTGTCACACGGTCATGATGAATATCGGTAGGTTTACTTTTCCCTTTTGCTTGACTTTCTCCAACGTGAGAACGATTCGCCTTCAGGAATACCCCTAACGGCAACAGTCCACGGGTGGCGGTCACCGGGTAGATTGCGATTCAGTTATGGTTCCATACACGCTAGCTACAGTGGAAATGATAGTTTTTTGGCTAATTTATTTATTTTAAAGTTTGTGATACCATCACTGACAGGATAACACGTGATCAAGGGCACTGTCTGCACTGAGATATCGTGAAAGCCCTATTAAATCCCCGAACTCGTTCAAAATATCAACTCCTTGTGCTTACTTTCATAAACAGAAACATGGCAATTCTATACCTTGCTCAGTTATTGGTTAATTGTAAGACTATTTTCAAACAAACCAGGGAAAAACTCTTGAACTAACTTTCTTCTCTCATTTGATAAAGTGTAGAATTTCTGATATTGTCTTTTTTGTTGAATATATATATATATATATATATATATATNGCTTCAAGCGGGTGTGAAATGTAATATAATACACCACGATCTGGCGTAGTAGCATGAAAAAGTTAGCTTCAGCATTGACTTTGGTTGGTGCAACCCGCCTTTCAGGTTGAGGACCAAGGGATAGGAGATGTTGGGAGATGCAGTTTAGAACAGAATTCAGTGGGGCAAATGCTTTACGGTCTGGTAAAATTCCGTCACACAAAAGTACCAAACATACAAAAGGCATAAAAAAAGAGTAGAGTGAAAGAAACAAAAATTATTGTTGTTCATATTCTTTAAATAATTCGTAACTGCTTTTATGTTATGCCATTCTCTTCTATAAACCAATCCCACTATCCCCTATCATCAATGTTCTTACGTTGGCATTATGCTGGTAAACCGGTGATAATTGTTTGTAAACACATAAGATTGATGAAAACTTTTGTTTGGTATTCGCCTATTGTTTATTCTACAAAGTGATTTACAAAAACCCATTAGTGGGGGGACATCCTAGTGAAAAGCGATTTATTGAATTTACTTTGGAAGAGAGAAATTTCGAAAATGGTATAAAATACAGAAATAGGGTATTTAACAATTTGACAGGTCGGGTACCTCGAACGTCTGACTCCGTCCGAAGGGGAAATGATCCAATGTACTGGATACTGACCCCCAAAGGATCGTGGATTTCATGCACCGTATTGCTATCCTGCGGGTCAGACTTTGGCTATTTAAAGGCTCCGAATGTGAATTCCCCAAGAAAATTCACCTGCTTGGGCCTGGGCAACCTAGTATTATTGTACCCTCAAGCAAATTATGGAGGTTTTCTTTTATCTAGCATTATTATAGTGCAATTTGTTTGTCACAGTCTACATTCAGACACGTGAGAAAATAAATGAATACTGTTAACGTTAATGGTGTGACGGTACTCAAAGACTTGACATAACGTTAAAATTGGACCAATAAACCTGCGACGAGGTCTGAATCCAGCTTGTTGCCCATGTATATTGGCCTTCCTTATAGGAGTCAGGCGCACAAGCATTACGGAGGCTAACACTTAGGTGACGATTGGGATCAAACTTCTAAGTGGTGGTTTGCACATTGGTTGAGAGATTTCTTCTTGGACACTGGAATTTTTCCAGTGTATTACACCGCATGCGGATACTGCATTGTTTTCCCTCGCCCATTTGTATCTCCCTCCAGGAAACCTTCCTGGACAAACAGGTTACGGATACGCTCTAATTAACCAAAGACTGCTGAGGTGGTAGTATAGTACACCGTGTTTTCTTGTTTTATTACACACCAAGTGATTTACAGCAAAAGGGATAAATTCCATAATCAACGATACATTGTAAGGGAGAGGTATGTAGGGGAACATTCAAGTAAGAATCAATTTGTTAATCCTGCTTTTGAAAATGGTAAGGTTATAAGAGTTTGGAAACACGGAAATGGGAAGAGCGTTCCACAATTTCGCAATCCTCCGGTAAAAAGAAGATTGAAAGGTAGAAGTCCGATATGTGGGGACAGAAACCTGATAAGGGTGACTTCCCGCCTGAGAACGCTATGAACGAGAAAAGGTCAATGTAATGGGAACCGCTGAAGCGAGTTCAAAGGAACAGAAACCAAAATAGTAATGATAGAAAAGAGATAACAAAGCAACTACCCGGCGATGGGAAAGCAACTTCAGGTTGGAAGCTAAAGACAGTTTGTCGATCAACGGGGGGGCGTTACGTTGAACACGGTCGAGCAGAGAAAGAGCGGAATACGAAGATCCAATCCATAGGTGACTGCAGTGTTTGGGCGTTGGGTGGATTGGAGCTTTGTATAAAATGGGAAGAAGCTTGGGTGTAAAGAAACGCATGCGCGCAATAGAAAACTCGGGAGAGCAGAGCTGTATGCTACCGAGCGCGTTTTCAGGTCGCCGATAGGGGGACGGCCATCTCGCGGCTAACCGTGAATCAGGTGGGCTATGGCCCTCCGAATAAGCGGTTGCGGACAATTAGCGGTAGCGCTCAAGGATACGGTGGGCTTAACTCCTAGCAAAGGTCCTCCGTAGAAAACATCACAAATATGAATGGACAGCAGTACAACTCAGTCCTTACAACCATTAACTATGCACTTTCGTGCGCCGGTTTTGGTTACTGTCTTTTGGTTGCCCATTTGGATAAAACAGCAGAATGATGATTAGAATATTGAGAGCGGATTCAAGCGGAAGATAGCACATTTTCATAGAATGACGTTACAAGAACAATGAGTAAATGCATGAACGCCACTGTTTGCGACACCCAGCCATATCGCTCAGTGCCTCTAACCATCGGTGACCATGATCTCTGGGTCTTCAGCCAGGGAGCTTAACCGGACCTATGTGAGCCAGTCTCCTCGCTAGGATTTTCATACCCTCATGCCAGGTCTTAGCTAGACGGGCCTTCATTTTTTTCCAACTGCTACCTGCCTTGGCAAGCATCGCTCGCCGTAGCAACCTATCTGGTGCCATGCGTAGCATATATCCCAACCGGCGTAATTTATGGAGGTCGACTACCATCGTTTCCATCGCTTTTTATTTGATCGTGAGTCAGAATTTGCTGTTGTTTCGATTGATATTTAGATCGCTTCCTTGATTGCCGTCCACTGCTCACTGAGTCCTCCGGCTAATGGTTGAGCTGAGAGACGATCTGATAGTTCCGCTTCGAAGGCCGATTTGCAACCATTGCTGACATTGTATCTTGGGCATCCGTTTTCAGCGGCTTTTCTGCGTTTCTTTACTAGGCGTAGAGAGAATCTCGCTCGTAGCAGAGCATGGTCTGTGTCTACGGGTGTTGACCAGTAGGAGCGGCAGTCTTCAATGGATTCTCGCCAGTGGTGGCAATGTGGTCCATTTGAGTCCAGCGATGTGAAGCGGTTGGCGGTCTCCATGTAAGACGGTGACGTTTTTTGTACGAGGAGTTCGTGCTTGACAGAAACAGTCCGTGGTCAGCGCAAAGTTGGGGCAGGCGTTCTCCGTTGTCAGTCCTGTTGGCTGTGATTGCATGTGAACCTCCAAGTAACCTCTCCAATTCTTCCAGGGATCCAACTCGAGCATTGAAGTCTCCAGCGACCACCACGATGTCCGTTAACCGAGCACTTCGGAGCAGTTGAGAGAGGGCCTTGTAGAATTCATCCTTAAACTTCTGGCGAACTGCAATCTATCGGTGCATACGCGGATACGACGAATAAGCATCGACTCTTCGTTCTGTAGCTGTTGACTCGTACTGAACCATCCAGACGTACGGCGCAAAGTCGGCTATCAACCGGGGTTCAATCGAGACACTCAACGCAATCCCAACACCAGCAACACCGCGAGCTTCGGATGTCGAACCGCCTGACACGCGGAGAATAAAGCGTAAGGATGAGGTTGGATCTGGAGAACGCAGGGAGATGATTAAAGTAGGGTCTTGTGTGCGTGTTTCGGAGACACAGTATAGATCTAAATAGAAGGTTTCAAGGGTTCTAGCTAAGGTAGCTTGTTGACCAATATGGTAGAGTGTGCGGACATTAAATGCGACTAATTGGAAAGGAGATTTTGGCTTCAAAAATCTGATAGCCTCCGAGTGGTTGGCCTCATTAGTTGAACACTGAGTGGTATCCGATGGGTGGCGCAAACAGGATGCATCTCCTAAGT